GTTGTGACTATAAGGATTCTCGTGAACATCACATGTGATGTAAGACAAGTGGCTGAAAGGTCCAGGGTTTAGACAGCGAGCGAGGGAGATGGATGGAGAATGCAAAGGGGACCTAGTTGGAGGGATCACTTTAGTTGGATACAGAGGATGTAGGAGATCAGTCTCCTATGAAAAAAAGAAAAGCAAACAGAAACAGATTAACCAATGCAAAAAAAAAAAAAGCAGCTTTCAACAGAAAGAAAAGTGCTTGTCTTGCACCTTTTTTACATTTCATATGGTTTGATGATTAACTAGGAAACATACTTTACCTTCATGCCAATTCAACTGCTCTACATTAAGCACTTTCATTGGCATGAAAGCACACACACAAAAACCTGCTGTAGACATTCCACTAAACCGGTTACACTTCAACTGGGATGCAATGCACCTTGCTCCTACTGCTCAACTGAGGCTCAAGTGAAAAAAACAAAAGGTCAGAAGCATCTCGTGCTAGGATAAAATTGTCACATTTTGGGCCATTTTCTGAGAGGGTGGATTAGAAGCAAAATCCATCTGAAAACAGTATTTGAGGGCTACAAAGGAAAGTCTGCCTTAACTACCAGGAGCACTTCAGGCTTTTTAACAAGACTTTAACAAGCCTTTGCAGCCATTTGAGTGTGAAACCAGTGAAGGTGCACACACGTTTCACTACTGCAAGTTATCAGTGGATAATAGTGTTTCTGGTTAAAAACAAAACAAACAACAAAAAAACCCACCACACCAAAACAAAACAAAATTATAGGAGTTTTTTGCACTCAAAGGATAAAATCTTTTAAAAAAAAATATTTTTAAAATATTTGAGATAGTGTCAAGCAGGCTCACCCAGCTTTTGGCACAAATCTCATGCTTAGCTTTTGTCAAGGCACTCGACACAATACATCTCAAAATCTGCCCCGCTTGGCTGGCTGAGTCTAGACCAGAAACTTTCCTGTGCCCTGTGCCTTCGAGCTCAAGACCCAGAAAAATTGTGATACGAGGCCCGATTAGTTCCAGCAGAAGTTAATGTATCACACACCAAAAGCACAAGCACCAGCAAATGAGCAGATCACAGCCTGGCAGTGGCGACAGTGGCTGGAAGGGGACCAGGCAGCAGTCATTTCACAGTGACCTTGCCTCCAGCTCCTCCTCAGAGGCACCAGCCCGACTTCTATTAATGATAAACCTTGGCAAACCAGCCTCACAGCTTCATGCCAAGTGTAGCTAATATCTCCATAGTTCATCCTTATCTTGCTCTTCCATTGTCCAAAGTGGTTTATTAATTTTTTTTTATGACAAAGGAACCTATGTACATTCTTGTTAATAAATATTTGCAAGTGCGTTAATTCTCTAACATTAATTATGGGTTGTTTTCATATTGTTGTGTAACAAAATGTGCGCTTTTTTTTCCAAAAAAAAAAGATTCTGCTTCCTCAGTTTCAAAGAAAAAATTGTATTAAACCATTATGTCAGCACTGCTCATCAGTTATACAGACTTCCAGTATATTTAATTGTGCTTTTTTGAACAAATTGGAGCATACTTACAAAATTCCTGAAATACATTACAGAAATGTATTAAGCAAGAGGGAAAAAATTCTTTCTCATGATGGGGAAATTTCCATTTCCAGTAAGGGCACCTAAAAATGTGGGAAGCTTAATATTGTCTGATTGGAACCTCAGAAATACTACGCTCTATCCGTAAAGAGTGTTTGATGGGAGGGTACCTACTGAATGAATAGCCAGTGCTACAAGTTGTATATGTACTCAGGAAAAAAAGAAAAAAAATAAAAAATAAAAAAGAAGGCAGCATAAGCAAATATGAGAAAAAGGCAAAACAGGATTTTTTCCCTTGTTTACAAATGTTGTTGGCACACCAATGTCAATCTACATAGATTATACCCAGAACTCAGATAAAAAGAACTGTCTGTGAGCTGAGCTACAGTCCCTCCAGACAATCTTTACTAATTTAGAAATCTCTTCTTGTCTCCATCCATTGCTTTGCATTATCTGAATGAGAACAGCTTCCTGTTAAAGCAAAAAATACTATATTTTTACAAAGGAAACGGCCTTTTCCACAAGGGGACAATTCTTGCTGAAGTGAAAAGCAAACAAGCTATTCTCTGTTGTGCAAAAAACTGTGTGTTCAACCTAGGGATGGGAAGCTGAAGGTCAGCAATTACAGCTGGCTGCATCATTATGTCTCAAACCGAATGTCAACCACAGAGTCATCAGTGCTCAGTGTCACACTGGGAGGTTTGGCAGGGAGGGGAGGTACTGTGGAGGTCTAAGAAAAATCAAAAGAGGTAAGTTAATAAAGCTGACGCATTCTGGAACCTCATCTAGTCTGTGTCATCCTCGAAGATGCAGCCCAAAAGGGTCTGTCCTTTCAACATGGGCTGGGTGAAGGAGAGGCAGCAAGGTCACCTAAGGAGGGTGTTGTTGGCACTGCTATTAGAAAGAAAGAAAAAGAAAACATGCAGAGAGGGAGAGAACAGAATTATAAGAGCTGAACCTCCCAGGAGGACTGGGAAAATCTTCAAAGAAAACCAGGGAAAATCAGTAACAGCATGAGCAGATTTGCCCTCAGCCACAGTAGGTACATGCTAAGTTCTTATCTGAGGACAAGTGGACCAGCACTGTCTCTTCCACAGAAAGCCCGGCTGCTGGTCTCGTGGTTTTCATCCACAGCTCTCATATCCCATGAAAGCAGCTGGTTTACCTGACTTCAGGGTAATCCTGGTGGGAACTCCTCCTACTCATTGGAAGCCAGCTGCCGTGCAGCCAAAAATGTTTACTACTGAGGGTGGGCGAAGCAGCAGAATGAGTGTCCTTATAGCCTAACAACCCCATGGTTAGAGACAATCACTGCAATTTTCAAGCTGTCGTCTGGGCAGGGAGCCAGTTCCACAGGCAGTTCTACAGCCCTCTTAAAGGCACTAAACAGGACGGTTTCACAGATGCTGTGAGGTCATGAACATCCTTATGTGGGCACCCAAGTCACCTCCACTTACAAGGGACCAAAAACCCACTGTGAGAGGCAAGAGCTGAAATCATAAGCATACACAGTCATGTTCAGTGCTTTTCCTTCAGTGCTTTCCCCAGCTCTGGCTGTTCTTGTACTGTTAATTGTTGTGTTAGACCACCACTAGAATCTTTAAGCCATTTCTCACACAAAAAAGACCAGTTTTTGTAAAGTCAGTGAATCCATCTGAATACGGGTCTAAGTACACAAAGATGTCTTAAGAGACATCTCAGAGAGAACAAGTATTTTACAGCAACCTATGATATTTCTTAGGTTGGGATAAAAATAACAATTTATCAGTACTTTAAAGCATATGACATTGTTCTTCTAGATAAACAAAAATGAACATATTCATTGTTAAATTAACTTTTCCATCTATCCTAGTCAGTGCACTATTTGTTTAGTTTATCATAATGCATAGCTTTTCTATAAAATAATTTTGGCTTTTTGTACAACAACTACATTTATTTAAGGACTTATTAAGTCCTCAGTACTTCAGCAGCATGTACCATAAGTATTTTATAAGATGTAAGTTGTTTTTTTTTCCCAATTTGCTTCAAATGTCAGAAAACTTCAGACTTTAGCAATGATCCCAGGTTTGTATTTGCCTCCAAATACAAAGTTTGGTGATTGCATCACTCCTTCATCAGTAAAACTATAGCCAGCAGAATCAGTGACCAGCCCTGATGAAAAGGAGGTATGAGCTGCCCTGCCTTTGCACAGAGGCACTGCTGAAGTGGACTAGCTCAGAAGCTGTCCAGCAGCAGCTCCTGGTCAGCTTTCCTTTTATCCCAGGAAAATGGCAGCACAGTGCCTTGGCATCAGAAGGGTTTTTTTTCAGTAAGGTAAAGCATGAAAAATTCACTGTGAACTCACCTGTAGTCTCTGAAGTAAGACATTTGCTGTCGATCTCAAAAGTTCAGAGACAAATTGTAAATCATGATTTTTATTCATTCTTTCTTATATTTTACAGAAACTCTAGATTCTGTAAAATAATTGAGAATAAGAAACCTTCTGATGCCACCCATAAGTGTTGCTGGAACTCACTAATACCACAAATAAGTCTTCCTCTGTTTATAGTTCTGCAGTACTCTTGAGAAATGCCAGGATTGTCCTACTGCAAGTCAGAGCTATGGGAAGGAATGGAAAGAACTAAAACAAACATCATATAAAAATTAAGTTATAAAAGGAAGAAGAGAGGACTGCCATTGCTAAAGACACACTCTAATGTTACCAGAGAGGACCATTGTCTTCATTTTACTATACTACAGATGGAATATTGCAAATATACTAGATAGGATAATAATAAACTCCTACAGGGACACTCAAATTATGTATCACAGTTAAACTTTAATTCACACTAATAAAGGCTGACAGAACCATTTATCTGGGCGTTCTCTGCCTCATACAGGTCAGTAAATTTTAGATGTAATTTTGCAGAGGTCTGCAGAAGAAGACAGGACTCTCGCTGCCCCTGGGCTGCCCACTAACACCCTCACATGCGGTAGAAAAGTTGCTCCCTCAAGCTGTGGAGGGACAGGAATATGGACCTGGGGGAGCTACGCACTGGGGGGTGACACAGAAACTCATTGGGTCTCCTGTGCAGTCTCCCTTGGAGAGGGAAGAGTGAACCTTGCCCAGTCCTCGCTGCCTTCACTCCTCTTTAGATTCAGTCTGGACCACAAATGGAGGAAGTGCTTTCTAGTAGAACTCATTCAGACACCTGCTTGACAGGGAAGGCAGGATTTCCACTTTGTTTTGTACAGTATTTCCTGCAGACATCATAAAAAGTTCCTCTCTCAACACAGAGTTTTTAGATCACAAAAAAAACATGTCCCTGAAGAAAGTCCATCTGCTTGTCTCCAGCCTGGAGACTCTCCAGGAGCAAGGGGGCCCCTTGGTATCATCACCTTTAAGGAAACAAGTTGAAGCTACAAAATCCTTCAGAGTGAGAGTTACTCACCTGCTCAATATCTTGATCACTTATTTCTTCAAGGTACTTTTTAAAAGGATTGGATTGATAAGGCTCCTCCTTTTGCTGTGCACTCTTTC